CCTGCTGGAGTGAAGTTTGATCCAACAGATCAAGAGATTCTTGAACATTTGGAAGCCAAAGTTCGACCTGATATTCATAAGCTTCATCCATTAATTGATGAGTTCATCCCGACTCTTGAAGGCGAGAATGGAATCTGCTATACTCATCCTGAGAAGCTACCAGGTCATTAATCAATTAATTACAAACTAGCCACAATCCATGCTTGTGTGATTCATGCTTATTTCCGCCTTTTACTTTTTCAGTCTTAGAACTACGTATACTCTCATGTTCTTTACAAATATTTTTCATTATTATTAAATGAATTGCTCGTTAGAAGTTGGTTTCTAGACTTGAGAAAATGAAAACAAGAGAAAGAAGCGCTTTCGTTGAATGAACACTAGTTATGGAAGAATGACATCTACTATACTCGTCAAAAGTCACCAGGTCATTGAGTGATCAAATATAATAAACTCCCGAAAACAATCCGTGTTCGGTGTGATTAATTTTTTATCTCTGCTTATACTTTTTCCTTCTGAGGTCTACGCTACTCATATCTGAAGTTGGTGTTCTTATACTTGCGTTAAAAATGAAAACGAGAAAGAATCGCTTTCCTTGATAAACACCATGGTGTAGAAGATGTGACCATTTAATCGCCTGTTATTCCCACAACATATGTCTCTCTCTCCATATTGGGATAAAAACCTTGCAACCAACCTTGCTATTACAAGGCACCTAACCTCTGTACTTTTCCACCTTTTTTTCTCAATTATTGTCAAAGAGCCCTTCATGATAATTTCATCTAATAGTGACTACCAAACCATATATATATATATATATATATATATATATATGTATATTAATAATATCACGTGGAATAGATACAAGCTAAAAATGTTGTTCATTAATTAATTTGAATATGCTTTGACTGCAGGAGTAAGCAAAGATGGTCTGGTCCGCCATTTCTTTCACAGGCCATCGAAAGCATACACGACAGGAACAAGGAAAAGGAGGAAGGTACATACTGATGACGTGGACGGCAGCGAGACACGTTGGCACAAGACAGGCAAGACGAGGCCAGTGTATCTGAGCGGGAAGCTAATAGGGTACAAGAAGATTCTGGTGCTTTACACAAACTATGGGAAGCAAAGGAAGCCCGAGAAGACAAACTGGGTGATGCACCAGTACCACCTGGGTTACAACGAAGAGGAGAAAGAAGGAGAGTTAGTGGTGTCCAAGGTTTTCTATCAAACACAACCCAGGCAATGTGGTTCCATGCTCATGAAAGATCAGCCAGTCACTCCTTCAAAACTCAAAGCCCAGGCCATGTACGAGGCTGCCAATAATCATCACAAGGGCAGTAATAATGGGTTTGTTGAGTTCTACGGTTCTTCTTTCTTGTCCTTTGACCAAGGGAACCAACACAGGTCTAGCAATTCTCAAGTGATCTCCCATTTTCCTGTCCAGGATGGTTCTTCTTTCAATATTCCCTGACCTTGAAGTAGTACTGGAAGTCGCAGCTGGGAAATGTGTGAAACATATATAGGGGATCATATTTTCACATATGATACGACAGTATTACAATATTATTATGCATAGAGAGAAGGAGGAAATAAGTTAATAACCAAAAGTCTAGTTAATTAGGAGGGGAAAAGGTGGACAAGAATAAAGAAAGAGATGTTGCTTCATCTGATCAGGAAAAATGAGAAGTCAGCGTGAGGAGGAGGAGGAAGAGGAAGAGAATCCAGATGTTGCCGTGACCTTTTTTGGTTGATGTTAATTTTTTTTCTTTTGAAGATGTCGTCTGCATCATGATTTGTACAGTGTCAGAGAAACATAAAGTGTGGGTAAACTGAAAAGTGAAAACTAACTAGCAAGCTGTACAAACATGACTTTTTACTCTGAGCAGTAATATGCATGTTCCTTTTTAATTGGAAGTTTGAATTGATATATACATGTCATATTTATCAGCTAGAAAATCCAATAATGTATGCTGTACACAAATTATATTATGAAGATTTTGGCTTAAGGCTGCAACTTCAACTAGAAACGACTATGGTGGGAACTGGAAACAGAGTGTTTGAAAGGTCGACGTGTAAGAATATATGGAAGCAGAGAGAAAGCCGATCGATCACCGACTTCACTGAAAACGCAAATCCAGATACCTGCGGTTGTTTTGTTTGTTAGAGAGATGCGCGCCGCGGCCATTCTTATCATTTGTTTTTGGGAACACATTCTTATCATTTTTCTTCACAAAACGCTGAACAGCTTCACAAGTCAGAGTTGTGGCCCAAATGGGGCCCATATGGGCCTGGGACTGGATGGGATAGGCTCCTTTACAATTTTATCCCTATAAAATATTTCCTTTATGTTTTAGTCCATCTTTTTATTGTCAACATAAAAATTCATCTATCAAACTCTATAACTTACAAGGTACACACATTATTAGGAAGAAATTAGAAACGGAGAGACTCTCTGTTCGAAAAGGAAGTGCTGCAGCTTTTTTAATTCCTCACTAAGCACATGCATGTATGATCCTATTGAAGATAATTCTGTTCGAAACACTTTCGAGGCAATTGGTTAGATCTAGTATGGATTGTATATAGACAGCAGTTGGAGTCAATGGCTCCCCTGGGACACTAAATGTGTGAACATTTTTCAGCAGAAATTCAAACATCAATTTGCTATATTATGAGAAACTAATCACTCCCTATAGATCATACCCCTGTTGCTAGTGTTGTGGCTTTTGATAGCATCATAAAATTGTTAAAGTAGTACTCCTCTGGTTTTATTTATAAGGCAGAGAGAGAAGACATTTTTTTGTCTTATTTATAAGGCACTAAGAGAAATTTTTTGTATAAATATATAATTTTACCCTTTATTTATTATTGTGTTGACTTTATTTATATGAGGTATAATATATATTAAATAGGAATAAAGTTACAAAGTTATTGTATTTTAAATGACAATTAATGAAGTTTAAAGTTTTTCTTAACTTGTATAAAACATGTTAAAAGTGACTTATAAATAAAACAAAATGAGTGTTAATTAATTGTAATAAATTATTGGAATTTAATTAGGGTGGGTGGAGGTTGTACGAGTCAAATTATAACCCACAAGAACCCAAAACGCAAAACGGGAAGAAAGGCTTTTTGGTGTTGATGGACAATCATCGTATGACCTAACCAATAATTTTATTCAGAGCCATTATTCTAGATAAACTCTGAGTATATACCATCCGGTCCTTAATATATAATTTAATTAATTAATTTAAGTAGATTAAAAATATTAGTTAAATTAGTTAATATGATATATTTTTTCTAAAACATCCTAATCATACTCCTTCGGTCTTTAATATAGGATCCAATTATTGAGTTGATTTTTGTCCTAAATATAAGACCTATTTATCACATTTATCAATTTTTTTAAAATTACCCCTATAGATACTCCTTTAACCATAATCAAGTAGAAGAGGAAGAGGAAATATTAAGAAAGATGATTGTGGTATTTTAGGAAAAACGTGTCACATTTCTTATAATTAACTAACTTACCTAACTTTCTTAATCTAATCAAATTAGTTAAATAGGTCTTATATTAAGGACCGAAGGAGTATTTCTTAATTTTTTTACTATCTCTTCTACATGATTATTGTTGAGAGAATATCAATAAGACTAATTTAAAAAAATTAATAAATACATAAAATAGGTCTTATATATAAGACTAATATCAATTTTCAAATTAATTCGACATGAAAGATAGAATGAGTGCATATATATATATATATATATATATATCTATATCAGAAAAGGGGTTATAATGGCGAACAGTTTGATAAATCTCATGTCCCACTCACCATGTCATAATGCGTCCTAAAGTGAAAACAAAATCAAAGAGTTAGTACAGCAAATAAGGCTGCAGAAATTGCCTCATTATATTCTTTTCCCTTCTTTTCCCCTTTAATTTCATTCTTACATGCATTTTTCTCTTTTTGTACGTTCTGAATCTGATTCATGTAACCCAACTGAGCATGCCAGAATATTAATTATTCTAATTAAGAGAAATTCGAGGATTAAAACGTAAGACCATTCTTTGCATCATAATTGGAGTATCATGAGAATATTTGGTGTACTTGTCTAACGCGAAAATATAAATTCAAAAAAAAAGAAAGAAGGAAAGGGGTGATAGTTTTAAAGAAAGCTAGCAGCTGACAAATTCTGCTAGAGAGATATTAATATAATCATATATAATTCAAACTTTCTTCCCTTCTTTCTTTTATTTTTCTCATATCGTCTGGATTAAATTTCATCATTCTAGGTTTTTTTATAAATCCTCTTTTTGTATGTTGATTGAACACAAAAATAAGGAATCACTTGACATGGTTACCGCTATATATATAAAATCGAAAATATTTACTAAACTTGCGTGTATATAACCAAAAAAGGAATTTGTGATATTCTATGCAGAAAGAAAAAGTATTAGTAATCACAACGCCTGGATTCTCATTTCTTTTTCTTTTTCTTTTTGTCTTTTTCATCGGTTCTTAATCATTCATACTAATTGAGTTTTATCTCGTTAGGTTTATTTAAATTTTAATAACTCAGTAATATTGATTCGTAAGGCTTGTGAAGTTGGGGTACGATAGAATTAGAATTATTTGTATGTATGTGGGTCATTGAAAAATCTGTGGTGAGCCCGGTTACGTTGGAGAGGGCAATAATGGAGTCCAAAAGCTGCCTGTACTGCTCCACAATCGCCACCTTTGTAAAAGGGGCCACCTTTCAGTATTCAAAAGAATATGCATTCTCATGCTTCCACTTTTTCTCTTCTTCCTCGTTTATCCATCTCTCTCCTTCCCTCTCTCATCAAACCCTTCATTATTACGTTAACAAAAAACTTAACAATATTACTCTTTCAAGTAATTACATATGGAATATCACATTATCCATCGCTACACATGCATCATATCATATTTAGTGTTTCAATCCAGTTTGGGAATATTCTGGAGTGCCTTCTGATATATGCTTCAAATCCATCCGTTGATTGGAGCGGCATGGCAAATGGATTCTATACCCACACCCAGAAAATCCCTAGTTTGCTCTCCTCCATTATTGTTCTCTTCTTTCTGCTGTATATTCCTGCGTTTTGCTGGGTTCTCTGTCTCGCTTTCCAGGCTAGATACGAGTACTGAACCTGAACCATAGATCCCACAAAATTTGTTCCCTTCCTGTCCGTGACTGTTGCTGCATTTCAACCCTAAGGTTCCCAGGAATGATCTGTCGGTTGAGGTTGCCCCGATTTGAGCAGCTTTCTGCAACAAAGCTGTGGCAGACATGTTTGCCGAGGATGTTTGATGGCATTGCTGATGTTGGGAGCTGTACAAGGAAGGAACACTGATCAGCTGGTCTTGATGATGACGACTACCGTTCTTATTATTACCGCCAAACACCCAATTCAGCCGAGGATTTGAGCACGAAACAAGCGGGTTGTTCCCGTATAGTATTGATCCTGATGTGACTGACCCAAGTTGATGGTGATGAATCTCAAACATGTTACTGTTATTATTGTTCAAAGTATTGGCCATTGTGTCATGAGCTCGAGGACCTTGCGTTTGAGCTGGACCCATCCACAGGGATAGTCCCCCAGGTGCTTGATGGTTTGTTTCAACACCAGTGTTTGAAATTGGCTTGAAAATGGAAGGAAAATGTGTGGTCATGCTTATGGCAGGCCCTTGGGAATTTTCCATGATGTTGTAACCCAGAAAGGAGTTATTCACTGTAGATGCTGCATTCACTCTTGCCGTCTCTTCTGCTAAGGCATCGCAGAATGCCCTGTGGGTTATGAAACTGTCTCTCCTGCACAACCAAATTTCATAAATTAACCTTAACTAACACAAACTAGCTAGCCAAATATCCAAAGAGGCGTGCAATTAAAAGATTCCAAATGTGATTTACTTATTGCTAGACCAGGCATAATGACCAGCTTGCAATAATAATATTAGCCTATGGGAGTCACACCTAGGTTAGTCTTAAAAAAAGAAACAAGGGTTAAGTCATTCCAAAATAATTAAGAAATAACTACGATAAGAAACTTTATCAAAAACTTGTCTGTCTTCTATCGAGATTTCCGTCTGCTCTCACAGTCCTTCTCTATTTACTGCTAAAAGCCAAATTGACAGGAACAACCCAGATACGCACAATCCCTCGGGCACCAGGCCCCAGAGAGAGAGAAAGAGAGAGAAGGGGGGGTTAATTAGGGACAACGATATCATCTTGTCTTTGTTTTCATCTAACTTGTTTGCATGAAGGAACTGTGGTGCACTATATTTTCGTCAGGAATAAAGGAGTAAACTTGTATGATTCTAGACAAGCTACCACTTTTTGCACAGAATTGATGTATCACGCTAGAATCAGACTTGATCATGAGCAAGAGGTATAGGGAATTATTACCGTGAAAAGACAGTCCCACAATCACATTTGTATTCTCTGGTGCCACAGGTCTTAGAGTGGGCTTTCCAGTCTGACTGGACAGCGTATCGCTTTGAACACTTCTCGCACTTCCATTTCTTCTCTCCGTGCTTTCTGCAAAAGTGCTTCTTTATCCCTGTTAAGTCTCCCAGAGCCCTTGAAGGGTCGTGGTGGACACAAGTCTTTTCAGGGCACACATACACTCTCTTCTTCGGTTCTTTGCTTGTCCTCTGCTTCAGCTTCCATGGAAGATTGTGTCCTCTTCGATGGAGCTGAAGATTTTGATCCCTTTGGAAACCCTTCCCACATATTTCACACAAGAATCTGTTGGTGGCCATCAGTGTCTTCGGCGACAAGGCTATGACCTCTGCTTCAGGATCTGTGATCACAATATTCTCATGGTAAATCATCATTGTGTTTTATGAAAGAACAATTGACTTTTGAATACACACACACACTCTTCTGATAGAAAGCTAATCAAAGAGAGACAGAGAAAGAGACTAAACTTATTACCTGGATTTCCTGGAAGGTTTCTCTTCCTCTTCAAAACTGGAGGAACAATATTATTACTGGATTCAAGATGATCAGTTGGGTTCTGATGAGAAAAACCACTTGAAATTTCTGCTTCATCCATCTTTTGTTGCAGAAGCATCTCAAGCTATATTTTTTCTGGAGTTTGACTCTGTTTAGAAGGAACCCAGAAACACTTAAAGCTGGGTAAAGTGAGAGAAGGAGTCCTAGTGAGCAACAATGAATTATGAGACGAACCGAGAGGATGGGCAAGCTTCTTATTTATGGTTCGAACCCTAAACAGCACAAACTGAGTTGATATATGCAAGATGGGATCTCTGCGAGAGTTGGAATAAAATAAAACTATAAGATGCTATAGCAGGCAGGGAAAGTTAAATTAAAGTAGAGAGAGAAAGATATAGAAAAGAGAAAGAGATAGTGGGTGTAAAGACTAGGAATTAGAAAAGGGAGGGAAATACGACCCCCCAGAAAAGATAGCAGAGAGGAGAGGAAGAAGATGAAGCAAAGGTGTATCATGACCATATGATGAGGTCGGAAAAATAAAAAGTTCATCTCCATTAGGAATTAATGATTATCCCATAATTGTTCCTTTTTGTTTTGTTATTTTTCTAATCCTTTCTCGTCCAATCACCGTTTTTCTGTTCATTATTTCCTTTCATAGATTTGGTCATTTATAATTACTTATTGGTAAGTAACCCCACTAATGTTTTTTAAACATGCAAATTATGCCCAACGACGTATTATATCGCGCACACACACACACTCCACCCTCTGCAAAATCGATTTGTTGCTAGCAACATAATACAAAGTGTATATAGTCAGAAAGAATCACAAACTCCTTCTTCAACGCACATTTTACGCGCAAAAGTGGGGAAATGGGACCTATTTTGAACCTATCTATTAAAAGTGGAAGTGTCCAAAGAAGATTGCTGCTAGTAAGCCAGAAATGTTGTGAAATGCATGCATGCCCTCTATATTGGATTATTCAAGGGGAAGAGGCCTATATGTAATTAAATTACAAATTACTAAGACGAGATGGCTAGCTGTAAATTACTTTGACACTCTTGGAAAACAGCCATGCACGTGTGCCCATGCACTATCCAAACTGTCAATGAAGGTAATTCCACAGGAAACGACGAAACAACACAGAAAAGGGAATAATCGTCCAGATGACAACATGGCATGTCTCATAATATTGGCTGGATCGCTTGCCCCACTTGACTTTTAATTATATGTGCCTATCAAACTATTTGTTTCTTTGTTCTTATTATTGTTTCTTATATTACTGTCATCACATCATGTCTTACGATGATGTAATTCTGATAAGTCCTGAATTCCTGGATTTATATATAATTAACACCGGTAGAAAGGCCAATATTGACAGACCTTGATTGATTGGACTATATTTTTGAGCCATATCCGTGTAGAATATGAACTTAAAGTAAGTGCCTTTTTATTATCAATTTTTGGTGGGTTTGGTAGATATTTCGCTTTGCAGCCGGCCAAAAAAAAAAATTATTTCACTTTGTAGCTTTTTCTATCACATCTATCTTTCACGTACGTCTATTTACTTTCATGTAACTTTAAAAAGATCCCAAGGTTCTGTATGGAAATGTTTAGCTTCCATTTACAAATGGATGTATTAAGATATTTGGTAGAGGAAGATCGCATATTCACCACAACTTTGATTGCAAAAAGAAAAATGCAAGAAAAGTTTTTGAAATAAAGCCTCACGCATCTTCCTAGCTTCTCATCAATCATCATATGATCCTAATCAAATTATAAGGTATATGGGGGCGTGGGAGTATTTCAGTATTTTAGCAATATTTCAGAGGATATGAAGATCGAGTATCTTGTTTCTAACCACCAGAAGAAGAAAAAGAGGAGGAAAGAAAGTGTGATTGACCTTAAAATGTGATTCTCAAGGCATATGTCCATGCAGGACCAATTTACTTTGAATTCACAGTACCTTGGAAATGGCATAATTGGTATTAATGTGAGGGTGAGTTTGAAGAGGAAAAGGTTAAAAGACAGGGAGCTGACAAAGGCAGTGAATATTTGGAAGTGTGGGAGTCGTCACCTTGTGGGCTGACTTTTGCCTGTAACAATGGCAGATCCTTAATCATAATCTAATGATGTTTTTGATTTGAGGACATTGTTTAAGATAAATCTTTGGAGTTTAGCTGTTGAACTTTGGTGGCCTTAGAATATTCTCTCTAACCCCTCCCAGCACTCCTCCCAATGGCTTCAACTTTCAAGGCCCCTTCAACTTTCAAATTTTTTTTTTAGAACTCCCCACCAACCTCTCTCTCTAGCTTCACGTACGTCCATTGGAAAACAGAATATCAATGAAAGCCAAATAGTATTCTTTCTTCTTCTCTTCAAAAGGCATGTTGTTATTGGTGGTTTCATTTTCTACAGTGCTCCTACAAAGTAAATCACGCCTACATAAAGACTCTCTAATGATAGCTTTTAGTTGACAGACTTATGTGACATGGTTAACATTTTCAAGTGATAAAATACGAGGCTTAAAGTTAAGCATAACTCAGCTATCAAAATTCATTTTTGAGCTTTGAGCTATATATAGCTTACTGATATTTAGAGAAGGTCCAAATTCAAAGCTGGCCAAAATAAAAGTTGGATTTCTGGCTTGAGCGTTTTTAAATTTCAAAGTTGTTAACTTATATTTCACTTTCAAAATGAGTTTAGGATTGGATCAAATGTAATGACGAGGTTTTAGGTGCAACATAATGAGTTGTGAAAATGATGTTGGCCTATTATGGATAACCCTGTTAGTGGTAAGATGGTGGCTGACAATTTGCTGTAGTAATTAAAAGGGAAAATGATTTCCATTATTTAAATAAAACAACCCCGACAAAAATTAACAAAGCCTATATATGAAATAGATTGTTTATGGGAATGGATATTGATGAAGTGTTAATGAGAAGGAAGTTTGGAGGGTGAAGAGGCAAAGCACTGTGGGGTGGCATGGGAAAAGAATAGATTACCACTATGCCTTACATTAACCGATTATGATATTGCCATCATCTTTCTCATATACATATACATATATTTAACAACACTATGAGGGTTTCTCTTTTTAGCTTTGAAAAGCATGACTCAAAAGCATCCACTTCTCTCTTATTAGCTTCCTTTTGGAGGCAGGCCTTCCCCCTTATTTTATTTTTATTCATACATCTATGCCTTTAAACAGGGAGGGACCATCCATGCAAATTAAAAAAGAAGAGAGAGAGAGAGAGAGAGATACAAACCAAATAATGCCCAAATCAGAAGCTTAATATATTTGTTTATTTTCAAATGACCAAGATCATGCCCTATGGTAATCAAATTAAAAGATGAGAGTCGCTATCTGTTCTTGCTTTCTGTTGCGAGGAAGGTCATAGTGAGCACTCAAAATGCTCCACTATGGAAATAAAAGAAGAGAAGCCAAAGGTTTGAATTTGATACGATCCGCTGGGGATATGATTGTCAGCTCCTTCTTCTCAATTATTGCCAAATAATTTTGCAGCAATATGACAGATTTTCAAAACCCTAGCTAACTCCTTCCCCATGGGACGGAATTATATTCAAAGACAAAGGAGGCCCAGCTTCCACTTCCACCATTCATATCCTGTGCTTTCGTTAATATCGCACCCTTCTTTTCGTACATTATATATTTATATGTATTGTCCTAATCAATAAAATGTCATGGCCGTAAAAAGTGACATTTGTTATCTTCCTTCTTGCTTGCCTAAATCTGTGGTGCCTTTTTCTTGTAATTAAAATCAATTAATTATTTGTTTCTTCTCAACAAAAGTACCCCACAATAACGATGGATGAATATTGGGGTTTGAAAGAGATACATGCATGTATGGACGAAGAATTATATATACATGCAACTCTAATTAAAGGGGAAAATAACCAGAGGCCTCATAAACAAATCTAATCATTTTGTTGTTAGAACATTCTAATAAATACACACAAGAAAATAAATAATGTGAATTTTCCTTTGAAAAAAAAATCTCTCAATTAGTATTTCTCATGAAGAGATCCCAAAAACAGTCATTTGTACTGCGTAAAAGTTCGTTTAGCTAACCCAGACGCCCCATATGTTGTCACTGAGGGACATCTAAAATATAAATAAATCACATTTTATTATTACTACCCATCACGGGTTACTCAGCAATATTTAGCTGACATTTGTATATGATTGCAGGAGATCAATTTTTTTTCCCCCTAAAACATAGGTATCCTTACTGTCAGGCACTAAATGTGAGTACTTATCCCAACAGAAATTCGAACCTTAATTTGCTATCTTGTGAAGGACTAGCTTTTTTCGTTAGACCTAACTCCTGTTGATTGGTTGCAAGAGATCAAATTTATTTTTATTTTAGAGTCAACATTTCGGAATTGGACCGACGAAGGCCGTGAATAATTCAAGCGATTGACACCGAGTGTGATGGGACCCATAAATGAATGAAGGAGGATAAAAGTATGGGCCGTTTACTCTTGGGCCAGTTCAATATTCAGCCCAAAATTTCAGGCCCATCGGTTTTGCAGTTTTCCAACGCCATGCGAACATTTCTCATGAAATACTATCATACAGACTTCCTTGCGAGTAAGCCGCCCCGGGGGGGGGGAAGAAGTCTTTTTAGTTCAATTTTAAAACTTGAATTAAATATTTTTAAAATTTTTTAATAGCATGTTTAAACCGATAAAATCTGGCCTATAAAACGCCGGTTAAAAAAAATTAGCAATAAATTTGAGTATGTTTTAATTAAATGCTGTGAATAGACTAACGGGAAGGAAATTGAAAGGAGGCGAGAATTCTGGGAGTCATCTTATGGAATAAAGCAATAAATAAGGCGCAGAAAACTGAAAAGTAGAGAAGAAGTTGTGAAGGAGTTATATTTTGATAATGTTTTTCTTTCACGTTTTTCTTCCGTTTTCGTAATCAAAAAGTTATAGACAGTCATTTTTCCGTAACAATGCCCACTTATTTTGGTTGGTACGAAAAAATAGAAATAAATATATAAATGAAAAAACAAACAAAGCACGTGAGTTTGATTTAATCATCTGGATTTTGGAATAAACCAAGAGATCACATGGGTCATTTTGAAATTATTAGTTTTTTGCTCATTAATATAAAACCTAATTAATTAATTTGAGTAGATTAAGAATATTAGTTAAATTATTTAACATGACCGTCCTAAATTTCTTTGATTATTATTGAGCGAATACCAATAAAGTTAATTTAAAAAAAATAATACTCCTCTGACTCTAAATATAAGACCCTTATACAATAAACATATGTCGGTTGTACACATAGGACTATGGTCAGTTTTTCAA